TGTATTTGATTGTGTTTATCTGCAGTTAGTTACACGAATTCAGATATGGGATGAAATCGGATAATGATGAAATCGTTTAGAGATGAACGAGTTTAAGAGTTTTTAAGAGTTTTAAAAGTTTTTAAGAGTTTTAGCCAAATGCTTTATAAGATGGTATAGATAATTTAAGTTTAATAATAAAATAATTTATTTTTGGTTTAATATTATAAATTTTATAAAGATAATAATTAAGTATTCTGTTAGAATTTAATGATTATACTAATTATATTTTAGATTTTTTATATTTAAAATGAGATGTTTATCCTGTATTTGATTGTGTTTATCTGCAGTTAGTTGCACGAATTCAGATATATGATGAAATTGGATAGAGATGAAATCGTTAAGGGATGAACGGGTTTAAGAGTTTTTAAGAGTTTTAAGAGTTTTTAAGAGTTTTTAAGAGTTTTAAGAGTTTTTAAGAGTTTTAGTCAAATGCTTTATAAGATAGTATAGATAAATTAAATTATAATAAAAAAATGAATAAAAGAAATTACACAAAAATGAGAAATTTTAAATAGTTAGTTTGCTCTAATATCAATACATTATTTTCAAATTTTTATGATACTTCATATTTTATTTTATTCAAAAATAAAAACATTATCTCTTTATTAAAATCACATAAAACTGTATTATAACATCGACCGAGACATTAAAAATAAAAAGAAACATTAAAATCGAGATGTATTTTACTTCATTATGTGAATACCCTTTTAGTATATAATAATCAATTTAAAATTCTGTTAATTAAGATATTATATTAAATTTTCTTTGAGTAAATTACATTTTTCGTCCCTATAAAATTTGCAAATTTTGTCCCTGTGATTTTAAAATTTTAGTTTTCATTTCTATGGTTTGCAATTCATTTATATTTTCATCAATGAGATCAAAACATACCTTTAAATATGAAGAACTAAAAATAGAAATGAATTGTAAAGCATATAGACGAAAATAAGTAATAAATTTTAAATCATAAGGACGAAAAAGGTGATGAATTATAAATCATAAGGATGGAAATCGTAATTTCAAAACCATAAAAGCAAAAATAAAAAATTTCAACAAACCATAGGAGCTAAAAACATAATTTAATCTTTTTCTGTACTATCTTGTTTGTACATTCGGTATTACAAGATATACCTCTTAAAATTTTCAAGATAACTACAACTCCTTTTTAATACAGTAAGTATATAGCGTAACCAAAGGGCCTTTGGCCTAGCGGTATCGTAGCCCTTGGCCTTCTAAGAGGTCAAGGGTTCAAACCTCACCATAGGTGAAGAGGGTGTGTGAGTTTATTTGTTGCATTTGCCGTATATAAATATTATATATTTCAAAAAAAAGTATATAGCGTATATATTTTATCGTATGTTTTTATTTTATTTTATGGTAAGATTAAATAAAAAAAATATTCGATATTAGACTCATTTTGAAGGTATTGACGAGACGATTATAATGATATAATTTATAAAAAATAAATTTATTTTTTAAATGTATTTTAATTCATATACGATTATTTATGTTAATATGATAAAGCTGTAATATGAAAATTAAAAAAGTAAGAGATAAAAAGTAAACTACATAACTAATTTAAGGGTATATAGTATAATTTAAAAAATAAAAATATTTGATTTTTAACATTTAAGGAGGATTACCCTAGCTTTTAAGTTTATACATTTAGAGGCTGTATGACCATTGCTGAATGGTTTGGTACAAAATAATTAAATGGTCGGAATGATTAAGAGACTCTCATGATATAGTGTAAAATGAAATATAATTGTTTACAATTGAATTAGAGCGCTGAATGGTTAAGGGAGACCCAATATACAAAATCATTCAAAGAGTTTTAAAACCATAAGAGACAAACTTTTTTTTTGTCAAATAAGATTCACCTTCTCAAGGATTTTCAGATATTGCCTCTTAATGGAACTATTAAAAGTTAAACAAACAACCCTTTAACTTTATAAAATGAACCTCTTAAAATTTTCAAGATAACTGAAACTATTTCTGACATAATATAGATGACACTAAAATCCAAAAAGGAGAAAGTTGGTATAATAAAATAATTAGGCAAACTCTTAAAAACTCCCAAATTTCAAATGAAACAAATAATACATTAAGAATTACGGTGTACTGAAATTTTATATGTAGTATCTGATTATTCTTTCGTATTTCTTTTGTTATACAATGTAGATTTATCTTTTTAAACCGTGTTTAATAGGGCATCAATCTTGGTGAGTTGAAAAGCATACTAGAAAACGCAACAATGGATAATAATACAGTTATACTTACGACACTGAACGACGCATGGGCTGAACCAAACTCTATGTTCGATCTTCTTTTGGAAAGTTTTCGAATTGGTAATCAAACAAAGAAGTTTTTGAAACACTTGGTCGTCATAACTTTAGACCAAAAAGCATATGCTCGTTGCCTGAAGTTACATCCGCATTGTTACAATCTTAGCACCAACGGTATGGACTTTTCAGGGGAGGCATATTTTATGGCAGTTGATTATTTGAAGATGATGTGGAGAAGAATCGATTTTCTACGCACGGTTCTTGATTTAGGATATAGCTTCGTGTTCACGGTACGAACCACTTTCTCTTTACTTTTTGTTCATTTTGATTATCACTAGGTTCACTTTCTACGTCAAAACCCTAGTTTTCCCGCTTTGAATGAATCTTTTATATTTTTTGATAATTTTACACACTACTTTAACACATGAACAATTGTTTGATCATATACACATATATAAGTCATATAAAACAGTCTATTATGACATTTAGGGGTGTTTGGGATTGCTTATTTAGAAACAACTTATGTTTTTTTGATAAAAGTGCTTATTAACTTATGTGGTATCAAACCGGAGTTTTGTAAAAAGTTTTTGGATTAGCTTATAGCGGTACCAAAAAGCAATAAGCTGATAAGTTGTTTTTTAGTGTTTGTCAAATTTTGTCTATAAATGTAAAAGGGAAAATCGCACCAAAATGGAACCAACTTTCATCTAATTCTTATTTTGGGGAACCAACTTTCAAAATCGTAATTTTGGAGAACCAACTTGCACCTGATTCCTATTTTAGGGAACCAACTTTCAAAATCGTCATTTTGGGAAACCAAATTTCAAAATAATTATAGAAAAATAACTAAAATTCGTTTTTTTTCCAAAAATTTATGCAATAAAATCTATTTTTCATTTTAAATCTCGTTTTTTTTAATTCAGATATCAAATTGAACATTTTAAAAATAAATTCCAAATTACCACAATAAAAATTGTTTTTTACTAATGCAAAAAAAAATCAATTTAATAGAAAAAAATTAATTGATACGGATTGGTTAGACATCAAAATCTTGAAAGTGATATTTAATATTTATTTTTTATTGCATTAATATTTTTTCTATTAACTTGATTTTTTTTGCATTAGTAAAAAATAATTTTTATTGTTGTAATTTGATTTTTTTTTAATTGTTCAATTTGATATTTGAATTAAAAAAAAGATTTGAAATAAAAAATAGATCTTATTGCATTAATTTTTGGAAAAAAAACGAATTTTAATTATTTTTGTATAATTATTTTGCAAGTTAGTTTCCTAAAATTGGAATCAGGTGCAAGTTGGTTCACAAAAATGACGATTTTGAAAGTTGGTTCCCCAAAATAGGAATCAGGTGCAAGTTAATTCCCCAAAATGACTATTTTGAAAGTTGGTTCCCCAAAATAAGAATTAGGTGAAAGTTGGTTTCATTTTGGTACAATTTTCCCTATATAAAATGACCAAAAATGACAGTTGGTTGACCCTTTTCTCTACACAGGATGCAGACATAATGTGGTTTAGAGATCCATTTCCACAGTTTGATAAAGATGCAGATTTCCAAATTGCTTGTGATTATTTTAAAGGAAACCCATATGACCTAAGAAACCTACCAAATGGAGGTTTTAACTACGTGAAATCGAACAAGAAGACCGTTCGATTTTACAGATTTTGGTACAATTCAAGGTTGACTTATCCAGGTCTTCATGATCAAGATGTATTCAACAAGATCAAGTTCAATCCCTTCATAAAAAACGTCGGATTACGGATCGTGTTTCTCGATACTGGTTATTTTGGCGGGTTTTGTCAGCCAAGCAAAGATCTAAACAAGGTCTGCACAATGCATGCCAATTGTTGTGTTGGTTTGGATAACAAGGTTCATGATCTTGGAATCATGCTCGGTGATTGGCGCAAGTATACACGATCGCTCGTGAATCAAAGAACGATGCACGAGTCTCCAGTTTCGTGGACGGTTCCTCAGCTTTGCAGGTATTTTCCAACTTTTTCGACTCATTTCACCACATTTAAGTTAGACGACCTAATTAAATATAAGTCTCTGTCGACAAAGTTGGACAATCTAATATAATATAAAAAGTAACAGTCTTATCAACCTTATAAGCCACTTTTGATTTTTGAAAGCATCCTATTAGCTTTTCATGTATATACATATTATTGTAACAGGGGTTCATTCCATCGTCCTCGTGCCCCGACAAAGAAAGATGGTCGTGGAAGGATGAGTTGATGACGGATCTCATAAAATGTTGACGATAACGTCAAGATTTTGGATGCAAGCATATCCAAAACATTAAGTTTTGTTTTATATTTCAGGAACTGTATATAAGATGGTATAATCAAGAAACTGTTGATATAAAACGTGAAAATGAAATTCTTTAGACTTCAAACTTTTGCCTACCGGTATCTATCTGGTTTATTAGTAGAGGAGGGTGCGTAAATTCATTTGTTGTATATACTTCAAAAAGAAGTTCCAACACTCGTAGTGGTAAATACCATATTTGTGTATAACGCTACCTTTGGCTAGAACATCGTACTAGACTCGTGTGGTTTGGTTTAACAATATCGAAAATAATCAATATTGAAGGCTCATGGAACCCCGCCACAGGAGCTGCCTTAGGACCAGCAAGGGGCACAACCCCTTTGACCTCAGCTTTATGACTATCTAAGGTGATAGGGGTAACATTTGTAAGTATGCACTCCGCACCACCTAACTTACGTATGTTTGTCATCACCTTAATCGATCTCAAGTAAATCACAATTATACCAAAATGTTTAATGACACAAAAATCACCAACATTTGGTAAAAAGATAAATTTTGATTGATAAGCCTTTTATATTGATCAAGTCTTTTTTCCGGAGGATACCACAAAACGATATCTTTCTCCATTGATATGGTCTTTATGATTCATTAACTAATCCAAATATGAAACTCAGAACTCGAAACCTATACAAAAAGGAATATAGCCACATACCCACATGGGTAAGACCACTCTGAAATCGAACAACCGAACCAGATAAGACACAACTAGTTATACTTGATTTGATGTCCCTTTTTTGTTTTCATTATTTTGGATTTTTGGTTCTTGATATATCGACATGATGAACTAAAGATGTGCAGAAAAAGCCCGGTGCTCGGGCTTAGCAACCTCGAAGCCCATTTCAGGCCTAAAAGGCTGATCGGGCTGTGATTTTTATTTTTACAAAAAATAACCCTAAAAAGCCCGTTTTTTGTTTTGTTTACTAAGTACGGTATTGGAAGCCCGACTATTGTGCATAGTCGTCATCTTCATCCTTTGGTCTATGTTGCCCCGAATTATGGCTCTTATTTTTGAAAATTATACCAATCAAAGACGATCTCGAACAAGCAACTTGAAAATGGTTATTTAGCTAAAAGATCACATGGCAAGTGTTTTTTAAATCTATGAATTTATGACAGTGTTTTTTGACATTCTTGTATATAAATGTGGCATAATTTTGTTAAACGCTAACATATTCGAACGTGTCAGAAGGTCATGAATTTTAAGGAAAACACCTGTCAGAATGTCATATAATTAAGCCGACAATGATTGAACAACAATTGTAGCAGGATCTTGAACGAAATACCCTCAGATTGTAAAACAAGCAAGCGCCACGACCGAAAAAAACAATCACGTAGAAATACATATGTCCTTTCCACGCCTCAGTAACCTAGACGTCAACCCTTTTTAAACGTGCAAATAATGGTCAAATTTCAAGAAAATCATGCAAAATTTAACGACACACATAACGTATTAGAGCTACGATAACTTAATTGTAACGCATTCGATACCCACAAAATGCAATGCTGCAATTTATGAATATTGAATAAATACATGATTTATGTACTTCTGCATGCTACCTATCAACCATCGATAATCTAAGGATGCAGAATCCGGTAAAGGCTCCAAAAACTCGTATCTTGTCGGGTGGCGCCTGGTACTCCTCTAGCCAAAGATGAGATCTGTATCAAGCTTTGGATTATCTTTGGTCGGGTTTTTGGAGTTTGGCAAAGGGGTGGAATCAAAGGCGGATTTGATAGCATCGAAGATGTAGTACGTCTTCGAACGACAAATTACTAGAGCATTTACGAGGCTAATGTTGGAAAGCATGTCATTTGTCCACTTTCACGAATCGTTCGTATGATCTCCCTATGCTTTTCAGATGCAATGTGCAAAGCAAATATGGTCGAAAGCAAATACAAACACCAAAATAACAAGCAAATACATTTAGGGGGTGCTTGGGGATTGCTTATAAAAACAACTTATTGACTTATTCCTATGTAACACTGGTAATAAACATTTTTGAGTGTTTGGATAAACAACTTATACCGGTGTCAAACCATATGACTTATATATAATGAATAAAAGGTAAATGAGACAAAAAATGGTCAAAATAGGGAAAATGGTCATATGACCGTTGGATAACGGTAATAAAACGGTAATATTATTAAAAAACCAGGCAAGTCCTAAGCCGGGCCTTCTTTTTTTTACTATAACCGGTCCCAAACGTTCCCAAATCGGTGTCAGGCTGGACCAGCCCATATGACCAATCTCTATGCAATAAGCATCCTTTATAATACTCTAATAAGTAGTCTCACATGGCTAGCTTGAGGAGTCCCCCTTATAAATCTCTATATTTATATCTCACATCTTTTAAAATGAACTTCTGTAATAAGTTTAAAAAATAAATTAGTTTATAATTATCAAATATGACATAGATATATCGATCTATTTAGAAATAATGCAAGTTGTATCTGATCCAATTCTAATTAAAAAATGTATAGAACCAAAATAACTGATTAAGATTGCTCGATGATAAGAACAAGTTATTAGCCTATAGTTTGAAACAATTAAGCATTATTTTTTTAGACTAGCTTAGGTTGTAAAACAGTTGCTATCACTAATATTGTCTTTACATAATTAATGAAGCATAACGGGTTGAATATTCAGGTTAATAAAAAAATAGAAAATTAAGAACAATAATTTTTTAGTTCTTAATTTTCTATTTTGTTTCTAAACCACGTGACATAATACACATTTTCTCTATGCATGATTTGGATTATTTTGTATGACCTTTTATTGTGTTTTAAATAAATATTTTGGATTTTTTTTAAATTTTCTTGTAATTTTGTACAAATGGAGTTTTATGGTAGCGTTCAGTATATAAATAAGATTAGATTAGACATGACAATGTTGAGCAAGACAAGGGGTATAACTGAATATGACAGGTTCTAGCCATAATAAGACAAGTTGTATGTCTAATGTACGGTACGATAAGAACTGGACCGGACTAATTATCATTAAAAAGTTGTTTGATAATTTTATATAAATCATATAATAGTTATAGATGACACAAATTACATAAATATTTAAATAAGTTAATTTAGAGATATTTTTATACAATTTTCTTATAGATAATTGATGATAGTTCGAAAAATCTGGTTTGTATAAAGGAAACTTATGTTTTATTCAGTTTAGAAGATCTTTAAGAATCAGTGAAGCCGTCAATGGATGTTGTTGAAGTACAATAAAGGATGCGGGGGGTGGTCGAAGGAGGTAATGGTGGCTAAGGTAGAGGCAACATCACAAAATTTGTCTATCATAGATGTCTGAATATAAATATTGAACTTAAATGAACAAGGCAGGTCTCTACGTGTGCCCTTTTCCTTTGTTCAACCTTACACCTCTTGTCCCTAACGTAGGGTCGGCCCCGACTATAGGCCCAAGGGGCGATGGCCAGGGCAGCAAACAACCCAAGGGCATCAATTTATAAGCCCGTTTATATATATGTTCATTTTGGGCCAAAAAAGTAAAAATAATACCTCAATCTGGATCTCTCGGTCTCGCTCTCGGCACACAGCAGCAACACGTATCTCTCTCGGTCTCGCTCTCAGCTCTCACTCTGTTGTCCTCTCGATCTCTCTCAGCTTTCTCCCTCTCTCAGCTTTTCAGTGTGTCATACCCTCTCCCCTCTGTTTTGTTGCCCTCTCGTCGCTTTTGATCTCTCTCTGCTCTCGCATCTCGCTCATTTGCTCAACAGTGGTAATACACTAATTCTATTTTTATTACACTATTGTTTTATGTAAATTATATATTATGTTTATTGTTTAGTTTAGACTTTAGATTAGGGTTAATGAGTTATTTTGTTTAATTGTTTAGTTTAGGTTAGGGTTATTTAATTTATTTTGTTTAGTTCAGGTTTACCCAAATGACCAAATTCTTGTTTGATTTGATCACTTTATGTTTGAATGTTCCCTGTTCAGACTTTAGTTTAACTTAGATTAAGATTAGATAAATTAGATTGTTATTTGAAGATTTGATCTTTTGTTTAGATTAGGGATTTAAGGTTATTTTGTTTAATTGTTTAGTTTAGGTTTACCCAGATTCTTATTTGATCACTTTATGTTTCTTGGTTGACCACTTTATGTTTCCTCTTTTGTTTATATTGTTATCATTGTTATTATTGCAGAAACAAAGTTATTTCAACTTTGAAAGTTTGAAGTTTCAACCTGTTTGGCAATTTCACGACACGAACCACGAACGACTAAAACCAGTTGTTATCTTTTTATTATTTATATCGTATCATTTGTTTAACAATTTAACTAATTAAGATATGTTTCCTCAATCACAACCATTAGGTGCTACAAAATAGGAAAAGAAAGAAAAAACAAGAAGAAATTGCTCAATCTTTACAAGGATCTCTAAATAAGTTTATTGTTAGACAACCAAATGTTTCTGAAAATGCTGGTGACAAAAATGAAAATGCTTGTGATGCAAATGCTAGTGATAAAAGTGAAAAATGTTTCTAAATAAGTTTTCGTTGAGACTGAGAAGATGAATGGAAGAGATGGAACAATTTTGAGCAGGTCTATTGTTTGACGAGTAGATGAAGGGAAAAGAAGGAGCAGGTTAGGTTTAAGGGGCTTTTTTTGTATTTGTAACAGATTCCAAAAGAATAGATTTCAACATGAAGGATTGAACAATTTTGTGGATGGTGGAATTCAAAGGATTTCAGAGATTCCTCCCTTTAAAAATAATAACCAAATATAATGTTGGAATTTGGTTAACGGAAATGACCATTCCAATTTCGTTCAATTTTGTTAGAATCTGACGAACCAAATGTCCCCTTAAAACGCTTTTTCACCTTGCAATCCATCTCTTGATCATCTCTTAGGGTCCGTTTGGTTTGTATGATTATTTTTTAGGGATTTAGATTTCATGGGATTTGGAATGGAATTGGATTCCATTATTTATAAGAAATTATAAAAATAATTAAATTACATATTTATAATTGATTATTACAAAAAAAAATATCTTTAACATTTTTTTAAATCTTATTTCGTACAATCCTACGAAATCCCCTTAAATCCC